TTTCATATGCCTCAGTGTTGAAGTCTTTGCCACATTCATTTGATTGTTGAAGCAATCTGCTTTCACCAACTTTTACTTGAAGAGAAGACTGCGAGATATCTAAATAAATACATATTTTGACATTTTTATTAAGTATTTAGTAACTGTTGTAATTAATCTCACCATCTGGAATGAACACATACATAAATACATACCAGCTGCCCGCACCACAACATGAGTAATCCCATATGTTCTGCCAAGGTCTATTCGCAGTGTTGGTTGTGTATCATCAGACGAAGTAAAACAGAATGTGTCTAAAATACCATCTACCGCAGATGGCGCCATATAACGATGGTCATTACCCTCAATACTGCTAACATAGCTGCGTTTGTTCAAAGCGAGGTTCAGTGGTTCTATTGTGAGAGACAGAACAAAGAACAAGTAATTCAGCATGCACCGGTCTCTGTTAGAATTTGTTTGAAAGTTATCTTTCATGAGTTACACAAAAAAGAGGGAAATAATTACAAACATAATTCTTGCTGGTGGTATGATGGCTGGTACAAAACTTTCATGTCATGTTCTTTATTATTTATTATGATTGACCCTTATATCACAGGCATTATACAAACTTGAAGCAAATATATTTGTGTATTTGTGTTTAATTGCGTCAGAGATACGGCCCTGAAACAGCATTCGTTAAAAACAATATGACCACTAATCAGCCTTTTTAAATCTAATCAGAGAACCAGTGATATCACATCATGTGCAATGTGCATGCACAATTTCAATAAAATATGTTAATGCACAACTGATATCTGGTTGTGGAATGGCAGAAATACTTGATGACTTATTAGCAATCTTGTATTATGTATAAGTACATGTGCATATTTATGACGTGATTAGTGATGTTCATGTGAGGTTTGAATTTCATTGGCCCTTATAAGTGAAAGTTACAAGTACAGCCCGGGCAGCCCTGCTTTAAACCGTCTCTAAATGCGTATAAACATTAGTAAATTAAAAAATTATTCCAAGTACAAAAACATTGAAAGTAAACTCTATTTGCGAGAGAAATCCACAGAATTCTAAATGACGGGATAAAGATTTACCCTGAAGAACGCGTACGAGTTGGAGGTTCCCTTTTCGAAAATATAAGTACCCGTTTTCGTACTGCTTCCGAACGGGGACTAGCAAACATGAATAATTGGGTACAAATACATGTAGTGAGGTTGGCGTTGCTTAAACATGCTCAGTACACTGCAGAGCTGCATGTAAGATAAAAGAGATTCGTTTACCTGTTGTATTATCATATTCCATCTTAATTTCTAATTCATCTATATATATTTCTGCTTTCTTTCCTGGAATGTCATCGATTGATCTCCCAATCACAACATGTCCGGCTTCATCATTCGCTGTCGTGTAGGTAGATATCATTCCCATCACATCTGTCGCTGCTAAATAATCATTGATATACAGTTCCACTCCTAGTGTTCTCATCCACACAAATTTAACGTGTGTCCATTGATTAAACATGCTGTATAGCACCACATTCCAATACATGTTCCCTGCTCTTACAGTGAGTTGAAAGCGATCATCCAAGTACGTAAATTCAAAACCATCTGTTGCCCTTGTACCGGAACGAAGTATTAACTGTTTTTCTTCCAGTAATCCCGTCTTTATCCACATACTCACAGTGATCCCTGTGTCGCATTTGTAAAGATTTTCAAGACAACTATCTGGGAATTTGCCAAGGTCAATCCATTGACCTTCTCCTTCAATGAAAACTGAATCCTCAAATTGACCTTTGCGAATGATCACATTTCCGGAAGTAGTACCTACCAATCCATTTGCGCCTATTAGCTTGTTCGATTCCAACTTGTCCATTGGCCAATAATAATAATCTGGCGGCGAAACTGAAAATATGAAGCAGTGTTAATTGAATGTTAAGAAAGAGTTACATGTATTATATGCAAATTTGTTCGAATTAATTTTGATGTGCACTTATGTCACTGATAGGACTATCAAAGGGATGCTGGTGCCATGGCTATCAACGCCACATTGAGACACTGGTGATTGTGAACTTAGTTGATTCACGGGATAGCTGAAAAATGTTTTGAAAGCCCTTTAAAGCACTCATGTGAAACAAATGGCTGTCCTTACATGAAGCCATTTTAACTGGAAATCGAGAATGGTAACCAATATATGTGATTAGCCTAAATATTTTTTCTTTTAAAATGTGTAACTTGATCATGCAAAACACTCATAAGAAACAAATGCCAAAAATGTTTGTCATTTTTGTCGGAAATCCGTATTATCAGTAAAAAAATCTAATTTATCAGCCAAACCACGTGACAATCTCAAAAAAGCTTTTTTAAAAATTAAATTCCAGATAAAAGTGTTCTGTTGTTTTTTAATAGAAAAGCTTTGGGTCATTTTTCGGAGCAAAACACATCACTACTGATATATTTTCCTCAAATGCTTAAACATTAATGAATAAATATAGTATTAGCTGTTTTCGATTAAAAATCAACGAAATTTTGAGCTCGGCGAAAAATAAATATGGACAACTTTATAACATAAATGAAACCAGTAGGTCTACTATTTAAATAGTAAATATTTCAGCTAACTGTGTTGCGTGACATTACTTACTAAAACATTTGAGGCCAACAGTTTCACCATGGTAACAATTGTGTATAAAGCTGAATTCGCATTGCATTATGCTCTGTTCCCTTCCCCGGCATCCCATATCATCTGCCCATATTGGTGCACTATCTGTTCCATAGTATGATTTATGGAAATGTTGCTGGGATCCATACTCGTAAGCTGTGTAAGAATATGTTATCAATAACAGTATGTGACTTGCACTTTTGGATGTCATCATTGTTAGAAAATATGTGTTGTATAATATTAATATATCTTTCCACATATGAATTAAAACAAACACAAATTGTTTTGTCATATATAGTATTTGTGCGCCAAATTAGTAGTATATAAAATAGAATATATATATTAATGATAAATACACTCACAGAGTTCTTTGCAAGCAATATTGGCTTCGATAACATCAAAGTAATCATCACATACATAACCCCATGTACCACTTTGATAAACTTGCAAGCGTCCTTCATTGTGCGACGGTCCACCAAATAGGCGAATGGGTACTGATAGTTACAACACAAAATGTATTTATTGTTTCGGAATATATATTTTCTGAAATGATGTATGTCTGTTACACTACATGTATTCAATTCACAGATAATATATCATTTAGCATGATTATCTGGCATAGTCTGAAACCTCACCTGCACATGCGGCACTTGCATCTTGGGCATGAGTACAAGAAGTAGAACCACTGGTGGCCTTGGGGCATGACATGATAGAGTTCTCTGTACCATCACACTGTACGTTTTCGTACCATATCGGTCCAGACCCTTGTCCATAGTGAGCACTGGGGTAGGCGATTCCACCAAATGGAAAACCTTGAAGGAACAAAATGGTATCACTAATAAAAACATGTGAAAATAAGGAATAATCAACGGAATCTAGGGTTCGATGGCCGACCGCTTTTTCGAATTCGAAACAGTAAGTATAGTATTTTTAGGTGAATAATTTTACATATTATGTAAAGCGCTATTTTAAAAGGCATAAAAGAAGAAGTCGTTTATCTACCGAGTTCTCTGCATATAACTTCAGCGTCTATGTTATCCCAGTTTGTGTCACATATCGTTCCCCATTGGCCTTCGTTGTACACATCAACACGACCTTCGTACGGAAGACGGCCACCCACAAACTGGAATGGTGCTGAGGAAACATATACGAAACTATCACTACATTGAAGTGCTACAACTGCACTTTCGTATCACGACTTCTTGTTGGCAAAATACATGCTACATAAAATAAAATTGTTTTCAGTTTTTAGGTGTTCAAATCGAAGAGGTATCTTGCCAAAATTACAATATTCCATTATTATATTTCATTTGTATATGCGATTTTTCAATTCGAATATTGCTGAACTTCATTTGTATATTCGAACAATTCATTTGTGTATTTTAACATTTCTTTCGGTGTTCAGTTCATTCGTATATGGGAACAATTCATTCGGATTAGACATAATTTCATTTGTTTGGTGATAGCTCCATTCGATTATATAATATTTGTACATTCGACTATTTTATTGGGGTATTAAATTATGTAATTCAAATATGACATCATTTTGTCCAGACATTTCGTTATTTTATTTTATTTTGATTTTCAATTCTTAGATTCACACAGTTTGCTCATTTTTTGTGCTATGCATCGGTTGCAACGGAGTTACCACGCATTTATGCGTGCTACTTACATTTGATTATAAAGTCATTCTTTTTCCCTTGTCTAGATTTTTTCTGAAACCTCTCGAAAGTATAATAGTGAATGTATAATATAATAGGCAACCTCTGTCCAATTGACATATGCGCGATTGACTAACTCCAGTACGCAAGAAGACATTAGAATATTACACAGACTTTATTGGTAAATAACACTTCTAGTGTGTCTGCTACTGGAAGTCACGGTTATTCACATGTGAACTTTCCTGGTAGCAGTGTCCCAGAGATTTCCATTAGCATTTCGGGAACAGTATTTTCGAATCATGGTCGATCCTGCGGCCGTGGATATACATGCATCGTCATTGACGAATTGACATGTACCCATGTACGATGTTTTCTCCAAGAATTAATACAAGGAATCAAGTGCGGAACAGTTTGTGCCAAAGAAGTCCAAAACATTGGACTTTCAGAAGAACTTGTATCCACACACTTTTTTTATTGTCTGGCACCCATGAATTAGGTCATGTTAACGTGTCAGTAAACATGCTCTCTTACAGTATACATAGAGAGAAGTTACGCAAATCCCGGTAGCTTTGGTAATCGCGAAAGCCCACTTGTGATTAGCAAAACTTAAAAAAACACTAGCAAATACAAATAAATATATAAAAAATAAATTAAAGTCGAGTTTCGCCGTTACTGATCTGTTCCCCAAACATCCCAGCACTGCGAGCAGAGCGGTAAAAATCGCCAGAGACACTCAAGTTGTAACATCGCGTAGCAGTCGAACGAAAACGCGATCGCACTCATAATGCCTCCTTGCTCTTCGAGCATACAACTATAACCTGACGGAGTTTGGTCTGCTATATTTTACTTTCGAGAGCATGACAATCGGGCGAAATTTGGCCCGCCATATTTTGCTTTGCAAATGTTTCTAGAAAGGTCCCAATAAAATAATATGAAAAAGTGGAGTGACTTTACACTCATATTGAAGTAGACTCACATGAGTGGTAACTCAAATGCATGACCCACCAAATGCCGAATGCGCAAACATAGAATGTTGTTTCAAAGCCCGAGCAAAATGGATGAATGCAACACTCGAAAATCCTGAAAAACTATTAACAAAATGATGATATATCAGATTTAAAATATCTGAATAAAATTATCAAATGTACGAGTGAAATGATCGAATGTACGGATGGCATGATGTCATCTTTGGATGGAATGAAGGAATACATGAATGAAATCATTACGAACGACATGATTGCATATACGAATGAAAAAAATGATATATTGTAATTTTGGCATAGGATATGTTTAAGGGATTGTAATTCATAGTCTATGTAACCATGTAATTCATGTTTTTTGCACAAAAATAACAAACTGGTATACGATGTCCCTTCATTGTCATTCCTTGATGATTTTACTCAACCTCTAGTTACGCTGGTATAGAAGTGATGTATTTTATGTAAAATGGAAATCCTACAGCAATGGCCGACGAACTAGAAAGTAAAGTTGAAAGCGAGTTTTTGTTTAATTTAGCAGTGTTTTTTTTTGTGCCCGGCGACAGTTCTTGACATTGAATGTCACTGTTGTCTCTTTTGACTTTTGTATGTGCAAATTGTAAGTACTAGTGCTGACACATAGTACATTTTGCCACAGAAGCCATATTCATGTTTGAGAAAACATAACAGGGCTGTGCGGCCATCTCTCTATCAAATGGCAATTTAATGCGCTATCCTGGCGTGAACCGGGCTCAGTCGAACATAAGCACATTTGGACAGTAACCAAGGTTCCCCCGAAGTCGCATTCGTTAGTGAATGAATCTCAGCCAGTGGAAATGGCCTTCCCATGGAGTCTATAGGCACACTCACCCAGGGTAGGGGTCGATCATTTTTGGTGTTCAGCCTAAAGTAGGATTTGATGAGTCTGATGCAACAACCACTCTGCTACCAGTGACGGGTAATTTAGCAGTGTTTAGGTAGTTGTTATTTGATCGTCCTTGGAATAGGTTTAGTCACTGCAAAGTTCCTATGCAAGATGTGAGAAGGGATTATAACCACCGTACACAACCGTGATGTCGATAATACTTTCTTATCTGTCTTATCTTATCTTGTCCAATTCCTTTTTACAAAACATGATACGTTTGCCTGTATCAAGATAAACATGCGACTCCAGAAATACCCTTCAAATTTTATAACACAAGGATGGTGTTTTACATCTTCGCCAGCCAAGGACCATTTATTCGGCCAAAGCCTCAACATTAACCCTTGGTAGATTTCACCACGATTTACTGAATGTCGCACGCCTTCAAACGATTATAAGATTCACTTCGGCTCATTTGCATCACCCAATCAGAACTCACGAAAGAAACTACACATTACTTGAACAAAATTAAAATGGCGGAGTCAAATAAACGTGTTTACTGATCATCAAAAGAAAGCGCTTAGCGCTGTATCTGAGGAAAATGACGTGTCTGTTGCAAACGCAGCCCCTCGACTGTTGCAACGAAGATCGAATCGAGCAAGTCAATATTTTATCAGTTTCGACAGTTTTGGCAGTTTACTGAAACACAGTTTGCACAACTATTTAGACATTCCATCGTTCTCATTCATTTGCCCACAAACATTGTTCAGAGTTGGAATAAGAAATTTTGAAAACGTGTCAACGAATATAGACCTTCTGTTCTTGACCCCAGATCTTGACATTTATGATACAGCAACTCTGATTGGTGGGACCAGCTTCTTGGCGTGCCCAATCAAATGACTCAATTTAGCTGCAGTGAAATACAGCTTTTCCTAACACGTTCACGCACGGGTTCGTTGGCCGGTTTTGAATGGCCGGCTTTAGCGAAACTGTGCGATTCGGACGATGGGAGTTTTTGTGAAGAAAGACAATTCACACTACTTAAATTTACGTTATGTAAAATATATAAATCTATTATGACAAAATACAAAATATGCGACTAGTGGCAAACTACTACTCACGTTTGCATTCTATATTGGTACTATCAGCAGCTGTACATCCTATGGTACCTAGTGGGGGATGTGGAGGACACTGAAATATGGAATCCTCATAACTTTGACAACCTACATCAGTCATCCAAACTGGTTTCTCCTCCACACCAAATACACCAGGCGGGAGAATAGTTTTTACCCCGAGAGGAAACCCTGTAAAACCAAATGTAATGAGTTAGGTTGCGTATATTATATTATATTATATTATATTATATTATATTATATTATATTATATTATATTATATTATATTATATTATATTATATTATTACCAAGTTCCTTGCATACAACATTGGCATCGCTCACTTCGAAGCCACTGTTACAAACCAATCCCCACTGTCCGTTATGGTACACCTCAACACGACCATCAAAGTACGAAATGCCAGCAACCATGCGAACATTATCTGTGAGAGAAACATTGTTATATAGACATTAAATAATGTGTGTCTATACATTGCTCTGACGGCAACATTCATGCTATACCGCCATCGAACAAAAAGTGATGTAAAATAAACAAGTTTAATACTGGGAATACACACTCAAAGCAGGATGCACATAGCACAGTTTCACAGTTAAATGTGAGCATACATGGTTGGATGACATGTGTAACATGTCTGCATGCGGCAGACAAGAGTAAAAGAAGGATAGGAGTGGCGTGGAGTGAGCTTTTCCCAGCATTGGGGCACAATGTGCTGTTGTTGATGATGATGTAGCGATTAAATGAATTATATAAAACCAGTAACTGCGTAAAACTTATATGATGTTTAATTGAACACACCATCTATAAACACACTATCTTCTATGATACTTCAAAACAGTTTCATTAAAAAACGAAATTTGATTGAATAGTTTTCTTACCCAAACATGCTATCAGAACATCATTGCATGTCTGCACCCCACTGGTTCCCGCTGGACAATCCATAATACTTTTCTCAGTCCCAGAACATTGGAGATTACTCAGAAGAATTGGACCAGAGCCATTCGGAATGGAAAGATCGTTCTTATTTAAGTAGGCATCCACTCCTGGAAACCCTGTAAAACGTAAAGGACATCGACGTATTAGGACAAATCTAAAAAAAAAATGTTGGCCCACCGTTGCTATAGCAACAGCCAAAAAACTTATTTTTGGATAGCTTCGCGCCAAATGTATCTCCTCCTACAAATGTAGGATAAAACAACTCAGCCATAGCTCATTCTACTCAGCTTGAGTGTGGGTACAACGTTACTATTTGAATTTTTTATATCTTTTTTTCATTACCGAGAAATTTGACCCCAAAGTTAGGGTAACTGTTCATCAGGAATGGCATTTTAACTCTTCAATTTTTTGGCTGGGCCGATTTGGTTCAAAATAGGCAGATAAGTCACACATTCACTCTAGTTAGGTTGACCCATCATTTCCATGGCAACAGCCAAAAAAATGATTTTTTTAAAAACTCGCGCCAAAATGTATCTCCCCTACAATTTTGGGATTAAAAAGCACGGACATAGCTCATTCTACTCAGCTTGAGTAGGGCAAACATTTACTGTTTATATATATATATATATTTTCATTACCAAGAAAATTGACCTCAAAGTTGGGATAACTTTCCACCAGCATTGACTGTTAACTCCTCTGTGATTTTCTGGGCTTGGCTGCCATGATTTTGTTCATACTTGACAGGCAGATCGTACCGTCACTAATTGGAAAACAATCCTGGCCCACCACTGCATTGCAACAGCCCAAAACAGATTTGTGAATACATTCGCTCCAAATTTATTACCTTCTACCAGTTTTGTAATAGCATTGTTCAAATGATCATGCTTTTTATTTTGACTATGTTGCACACTGGTAAGAGATCACGGCGCCGACATTGTTACACTGTATTAGCGTAATCCCAACGCAAATTTGAACTTTGAATGAACTGTAAATGCTGCCTTCAACCGTTGTAAATAATACATTTTACAGCAGAATACGTCCTAGCAATAAAATAAAGTGACTTCTAAAGACTGAATGTTTTTGTTTTTCTTTTGCGAACTTCGTATACGGTGCCCGGTTTTAGTTATAAACCGAGTTACCTTCAAGTTCATAACCTACCATGGAAACAGCCGAAAACGTGTTGCTTATTTTTTGAGCGAGCGGAGCGGTTCGTCAACTAGCCTACAGGCTTGTCTAGATATTTGTGTGTATATTTATTATTAGTTGTAAACTGTTGACGCTTCACAGCAGCCACCCTATATTTTTGCAAATATTGATGGATATTGTTCTGTTATATTTCCGTCGTTTCTGTGTGTACTTTACAGAGTGTTAAAGTTTTTTTGACGTTACCCACCCTGGTACCGGGATGTTGGTCAGACATAAAGCCAT